CCTGATTGCTCAGCAGTTTTAAAAACATACAAAGCTTACATTTTCTGGGTTGATAGCTGAGAGCTAATGCAACACATTCTGAATGCTAAACAGAAGTTTAAGCTAACGGCTAATGCTAATTTAGGAAAAGGCTCTAATTCAGCCATTTTGAACCTTATAAAGCTGAAAACTAGTAGTAGCCAAGAACAAGCTTTGACAAATTCTGCATGCTAAATAAAAATTCAATATGGCCACCGAAGCCAATTTGAAATGGCATTAACTTTGGTGTGGTGGTAGCTAAGATGGATCTCTGTCCAAAATGGGAGGCTGGGTCCTCCGAAGGTCAAATTCGGCCGCTTACGTCACAGCGCCGCAACGGAGGCTGTCCAAATTCGAAGACTACCTTCGATGCCGACAAATTCGTCCTTTTGCCCCGAATTGAAGGGCTGGTTCAACGGATCCTTCCCAGCCCACCATATCCCATAATGCATTGTGGGCCGACCTGAGATTTTTTTTTTCTGCTTGTAATGGCGGACGAAGCGAGAYAAAATAACATGTTTTAAATAAAAATATGGCGGTATAAAAATGAAAATTTTCAATCAGTTGTGTTGTTAATGATTTAGTAATGTGTATAGACATGTTTTTAAATATTATGTTTGTTAYGGAAAAAAACGATCTGGTAGGCCTATAGCGAAATAAACATGGAGGCAARAGGACATACACCGGGGTAAGGACAGGAGGCTAGACCGTCCAAATTCACAGCCACTTTTTTCCAGTCTTCACGGTCTACCAAGGACCCAGCCCACCTCGAACAGGTAGGCTTTGGACACAGTCTCCATCGCATACTGAAGCAAAATCAAAAATCCAAGATGGCCGCCATGTGTGGTGGTAGCCAAGCGTAAATCCTCAAAACTATGTTGAAAATAATCCTGCACCAAGAGGCAAGAACTCTCATAGTTTCTCCAGGAACTATTCTAGTTGTTGAAATTCAGTGATAGTGGTGGAAAGATCCAAGTCAGYGAGAAATACTGAGACTTTAACTGGAAACCCAACAAACAGAAAGACAGGAAATGATTGGAAAAAGAAATAAATGATTCTCTCATTGTTTCTTCTTGAAGAGATTTTTAATGTTCATTGTCTCGCTGCCAACACTGAAACGAGACGTTTGTATCAGAGTTTGAGTTAATAAAACTGGCTGCACTGAGGTTTATTGGTGTCCTCAGGCACCACACAGATAACATCATGATAGCCAGGTTCAATGTCCCACACCAACACAAAAGTGCAAAGCAATTGTTAGATGACAAAACCAGAAAGTCTGACCATAATTTCTTTATAATAAAAGAAAGTTTCCGAGTCATCATTTAACTGACGATAAACAGACTAACCTGCTCATTTTTAATGGAGAATGGTCAATAATTGTAATTAAATGGTTTGACCAAAACAACAAAACGTGTCATTCACTGTTAGAAATGTCTTGTGTAACGGTCGTGCCTGCTGTTCTCACCTGTTTGTCTGAAACCACGATCGGCTCCTTCAGGAGGATCCAGGTGACGCTCTCGTGTAAGGGGGGCGTGGTCAGCGATCCCAGGTAGGTCCAGTAGTGAAGTCTGTTGGGCAGGAGGCACTTAGGGTTGAAGCCTTTGAAGTCTGTGACACTGTCCTGTTCACAGAAGGACCGACAATAACTGCTTTAACACAAGGACACTGTAGAGTATTCTGTGTGTAATAAAATCCAACACGTACCTTATACTTCACCATGAACAGAACGTCGGTTATCAAATGAAGCCATCGATGGTCGTCACCTGTCTTACAGGACAAAACAGTTTGTGTCTCATTTGTCGTGTTTAGAACAGCAGCAGAATCGWATGTTTTGTTTGAACTAACTCACAGTGATACTTGTGTAAAAGTACAAGTATCATACCATTAAAGTTCAAGTCTTCTCTTAGAATATTACTTGAGTAAAAACCTTTAAGTATCGGATATTTTTTGTATTTAAGTATTAAAAAGTAAAAAGGTTTAGATTTTCTAAAATATTTATTGGGAGGTGACCTTCAAAAAAACATTGTTCTAAAGGCCAAAATGACCACAATGTTATATTAAAATGTTATTAAAAAATTTAGGATACAGTAGTCTGCCTGTTTTAGCTTCAGATCTCTGCCATGTTTGGTCTGTTTGTTTCCAATTAAAAGTTTCTTATCTTGCTGGTCCAACAAACTATTTAATTATACATTTACGTTTGTTTTTCACAAGAGTTTTAAAGTGTCTTAAGTCTGTGAGGGTTCTCAAAATGAGCCCAAGGGCCTCGCTCTCCCGCCAGAGGATTTTTAAACGTTTGGGTTTTTTTTTCCTCAAAGCGATCTCAGTCATGTGTCTGGACCCCCATCTCAGTTTCATAATTCCAGATTACTACATTTTTATTCTTTGGTTTGTTTTATTTAGTTATGTTAATTTCATGTAGAAGTGATTCCAATTGAAACAGCATGTTTTTCCTATGTTTTAWGGGACTGCAGTTAGTCCCCACCAGCTGCAGCCAGTAAAACACTCACTCTAAGAAATTAAATGTGTAAATTGCTTTACATTTACTCAGCTCTGTTTAGTGGAACCAGCTGACATAACTTGGTACAGTAAAGTCAGCATTCATTTCTTAGGATCACCTTTCTTCAATGTCTGATATATTAAATATATTCACTGAGAAAAATGGTGACATGTTCAATACTTATTTTACCCGCTGTATTTTCAGGCCCTTGAATCCTGGCATTATTGGTTTGAAATATTTTTCTGCAATAAAACACACATCTCCATTTTCTTCTGCTCATCAGTAGTCGGGTCGCAGAGGCAACAGGTCCAGGAAAGAAACCCAGACCTCACTCTCCCCAGCAACACTTTCCAGTTTGTCCTGTGGGACGCCGAGACGTTCCCAGGCCAGAGAGGATACATAATCCCTCCACGAGTCCTGGGTCTTTCCCGGGGCCTCCTACCAGTGGGACATGCCTGGAACACCTCTAAACGAAGGTGTCCAGGAGGCTCCTGATCAGATGCCTGAACCACCTCAACTGACTCCTTTCGATGTGGAGGAGCAGCGGCTATTTTCTGAGCTTCCCCCCATGACGGAACGAAACACAAAAACTAAAAAATAAAAGACACTACCGTACATACAAAGAAGTAATTGAACATATAGAACACCAGCCTGTTTTTAATCATGGTGAGCCTGCCTTCCTACAATTCACCCTCAAAAACACCTCCTTTTGGTGTTATTGAAGGTAACCAGAAGTCTTATAAAAACAAATTTATGAAAAATAACGTTACACCATGTTACACTGAGAATTTACCCAGAGTTACAGAAAAGATTTAGAAGATGTGACAAAAATCTGAAAACTGTTGTCCAAGTTGACAAAGCGCACATCTCTGTAAAGCTGCAAAAACAWAAAAGTTAAATAAAATAAAATAAAAACAAGTTACCTCTAAAAAGATCCCAAGAACAGCGAGACCATCAGGGGCTGACGCTGCGTCTGTAAATGACCTGTATTTGACGGCATTCCAGTGAACTAAATGAAGCTAAAGAGAGGGGAAGAATGGGAATAAAAATACAAATTTAATTTTTATCTGCTCTGCTTTATAAAAAAGCAGGATTGACATGAAACTTCCAATCTTACATTTTAGGTGCATCAGTAACATAAACCTAAACTAAAGCTTATAAATCATTAAGCAGAATCATAAGATTGTCTCAGAAAATTGATACCCAGGCCAGATTATTTATCAGACTTTGACAGTATTCTCATTTAAGACTCTGACCTCTGACGCGTATCCAAGTCCTGCAACAGTGTGCTCGGATCCTTCGTGTCCCTTTTCCCCCCAGTGAAAGTGAAACTGTTTCAGCCTATATGGGTTGTCAAGAGGGCCTCCTCGGATCACTGTAGGCAGTAAAACAACAACAAAAAAAAAACTGCTGGGAAGTCTTGCACATGCATCCACCTTCACACTCCTACTCTCAGTGGGTGTTACATAAACTGCTTTTCAGCACCGAGTGAGTAACATCATCCAAAACAGCTTCCTCTCAGACGCCACAGGATGAGTCGACACCTGGCAGATTTGATCAAATTTCTCATTAAACGCAGAGACGTGACCAGATGCACCGCCTGGCCAACCTGTGATCACATCTATTAGAGCTGTGAGGCACAAGCTTTCATTTGAGAGGCAAGCAAATGCATATAAATGGATTGGGAACTGTCAATTTTTTTTATCTGCAGAACTGCCCCTGGCAACAACGAGGCTTAAAACTTTGCAAAGAAATCAGTGTATGGTGCACTCAAATCACACAGAAATATGAAACCTCCTCCTCTCTTTAATATCATGTTTGCTACGCAACATTCTGTGACCTCTATTTTATCAATGTGATCAATATTTTCCTCAAAAACCTGTTGTACATCACGTGATACCTGTATTCTGCCCTCTGGTGGATTATCAATGTACTGCAGGAAGTGGAACTTTTGTTTTCCTTTTTTGCTTTTCAAAATGTCTGCTGACATGAGGTCATCCATACATTTTTTTTTTCAGGAAACTTTTGCTAATTTTGGAGAATTTATGGTAACATCAATATTGTTTGTAATTTTTAATAAATACTTTGTGTTGAAACAATGTGTAATTACTTATATTTTTAATAGTACAGTTAAACCGTGTTAAAATGTGTGTATCAAACTTGATACTGCAGGTATACAAGTTGCTCCAGTCCTGAACTGTCATATGACATTTTAGTAATTTAATCAACAGTAATCTTACCACACTACAACCACACACTATTTTGAATGATTGATAAATTACTGAAATGCCATTTGAAAACACATTTAGGCTATTTTCAAAGTGGTTCCTTTTAAATTATAATCTCTACGCTGTACTGACTAATTATTTATGTGTTAGATGTCAGAGAATTGAGGAAGAAGAGAGAAAAAAAGAAGGTAAGAAAATATCAATACGATAATAGATGGATATTTTTTATAAAGTGTCAGGTACATCTGTGCCTGAACAAGGACAGAAACTGTTTTTCTGCCTACCACGAAGTGAAATAAATGGCTGTAAAAAGTTCATTGTAAAAAAAAACAAACAAACAAAGAAGTAAACTTCCTAGAGAGTTCAAAAGTTATGGGCAAAACTGTTTTTTTTTTGTTTCTTAACTTTGTTGTGAGCAAAATTTTACCAAAACAACCCAGTGTATCAGATTTGATACAAAAAAAAATACATCATAAACAAAGTGATGTGGCAAAAAAATTTTTGGATTTTGTTTAAAGGCCCAATAAACATGTCAGTTCTAAAAAAATATGAGTWTTCTGACTATTTTTAAAGGGTTAGGCTTTAAAGGGTTAAAGGTTTTTTTTCCATTTGACGTCAATTTCTCCCTTTACCCTTTTCAAATGGTTTCGTCTTCTCTGTCCTATTAAAACAAATGTTTAACAGAGAAAGTTGCCTCAGATTTCAGCTCCACAAATGATACAGCACAGCTCTGAGCCTGTCAGTTTCACTGATTCACTCCTTCTTAGGCATGTGACCAGAGCACCTCTTTATGAGCCTGGCAAACAAAGACCCCAACGACTCTCCCATGCAAAAGGTGTGTAATTTCATCTGAATATGAATTTAGGTCACTTACTGAGTTTCACATAATATAATTCTGCACTGGGCTTTTGTTTTCAACTTCTTTTTTCTTTTGGATTCACGTTTCAGGAGTCCCTTGTCCTGCCATGTGATGCTGGGGGTCATAGCTGAAGATGACTCCGCTGTTTTTCCTTGTCTGGTGCACGGCTTTGACGTCTCACTGTCATACAGCAGAGAGCTGATGACACAGGCTTGACAGAACTGGGATTTTTTTTTTAATACACCCAGTCAAGCTTTGGGACAACCTGGTCATCATGCGGTGGCTCTAATACAGTGGTTCCCAAACTTTTTGTCTTCTGACCCACAAAATATCCATGGCAAAAACTTGTGACCCCAAATATTAC